TGGGCTCCGGCGATCCTTCCGCCTCCGCCTTCCAAGTAGCTGGAACTACAGGTGTGCACTACCACGCCCGGCTGATTTTTTGATTTATTGTGGGGATGAGGTCTTGCCAAGTTGCCCAGGCGGGTCTCGAACCCCCGGGCTCAGGTAATTCACTCACCTCGGCCTCCCAAAGCGCGGGATGACAGGCTGAGCCATGGAGCCTGACCCAAGGCTTTTTTTAAAGGGACATATAGTGTATTTAAAAGGCCCACTGAGGCGGGCAGCTGACATGGCCCATGCCTTTTGGCATCAGCCCCAGTAGCTAGCTGTCCAGCCCTCAGCCTGTGCACCGCTCGGCCCACTTGGAACTGTGTGGCCTTGGGCATGTTGCTGGGCTTCTGTGGTGGGCACTTTCTTCAGAACAGACCCAAGCCTTCCGGGGGCATCTGGGCTTCTCTCTGGGGCTCGCCTGGGCGGGGTCTGGGCCTGGGCGGGCCCTGCTGGCCTGGCCTGTGGAGGGGAGGGTGGTTCTGCCTGGCTGGGCTTGCTCAAGCCCCTTCTGTGGTGGCTGTTCCGCGATGGCCTCAGGCGACCCCCATCCCTTGCCCAGCGGGACGGGGGGTCTCACTTTCCCTCCTGGCACAGGCTGGGCTGCTCTGGCCGCCCAGGCCCGCCCACGCCCGCCCACGTGTCTGGAAGCCTGGCGCGGGCACTGGCACCTGAGCCTGCAGGCCCCATAGAGCTGAAGCACCCTGCCTGCTCCGGGTCCCGAGTGTAGGGATGGCCGGAGCCCCCCTGCAGAGGAGGCCGTGGAGGCTGTGTCCCTGGCGTGTCCTGCAGCCCTGGCCCACCCCAGTCCCTGGCCGGAGGGCCTGACGATGCCGCCACTGCCTTCTGCTCCCTCGGGTTCCTTTCTGCAGCCCCCACCTCCCTGCTTCGTGGGGACAATGCTGTCTTGATGGGAGGCACCGGCCGGGCCCGGGCCCTGAGGCAGGGCCTGCTAGCTTCACAACCAGCCGGCCCTGCGTGGGCCCGGCGATCGAGAGGCCGCAGGCTCGGCCTTCCCCCAGCGCCACCCTCACCTGCACCCACCCACCCGGCGCTTTCCACAGCAGGCCCCAGGCACGGCGTCTTCCTCGCTGGGTTTCTCCCCGGTGCTAACCTTGGCTCGCTTGAGCCCTGAAAGGCCTGGCTTCGGGAGGCCTGGGAGAGGGGTCAGAAGAGGAAGTGCCGGCTGGCCTCCCAGAGGTCCATCGCTCTCAGGCAGATGCGGGGAGGGAGTTCCGGGGCCACTGGGTCCTGGGGACGGGCTGGCATGGTCACCCTCCACCCTGCGTGGGACAGGTGGGTGTCTGGAGGAGGGGGCAGGGGTTCTCGGCTCTGGGCCAGGGCCGTCTGCGCCTTGCAGGGCCCGGGGCAGGGCACACGGGAGCCCCGGGAGGGAGCTGGGCCTGACTGCCCCAGGTGCCCGGGGCTTCCCAGACCTTCCTGGAGCGAGGGGGTGCCTCTCAGGTCTGCGTTGCCCCTGGTCCCGCCTTAGAGCCACGTGTCCGCGGGGTTGTTTCGGTGGCAGAGTCAGCAGGCCCCGTGGTGACCCTGTCGACTGCAGTGCCCGGATCTTCCCAGAAACGTCCCAAAAGCCCCCATGTCGGTGTCTCCTTGGGGCGTCGGGTGGGTCTGCCGGGCACCCAGAGCGTCAGCAGTGACGTGGCTGCTGCCTGGCCTCCCCCGTGGCGCCCTCGTGGCCATGCGGCAGGAGCCTGGTGTTGTCAGGGTGCTGGCTTGGTGCAGCCCCGTGTGCGCCCGAGCCCGGTGGGTGCCCTGCCAGCGCCCAGCCCCGCCCCCGACATGCCCCCTTTC